ATTGATTTAATGCATATTTTTTTTATTTTCATACTGACTCATTCCATTTACTTGTACAGTTCCATCATCGTTAATTTGTACTACACAACATACATATCGGTCGAGTTTTGAATTCTTCTTAGAGGATCCCCGGAAATTTACTAGGATCCTGGAGCATAACCATTAGCAACACTTTGTAATGTTTGCTGCGCTGAGGTTGAGTCCATTGATTGCCAATCTTCATTGTTGGGCAAGTGGGTTCCATCATTTCAATATCACACTCAACTTGTTCACTACAGCCGTCCGACTCTTGGTCCCCAGGTATTTCATGTTGCCCTAGAGAGTTATGTTCACATTCAAAACAACTGAAGCAACTTAGAGATTTCATAATCAGTTTGTCTTGACTTTCTTTATAGTACACCACTTGGTGAACCTTCATTGTCCCTTTACATGCAGGGATGGAAGATGGTACAACAGCCTTCATAGTGTCAATTTAGTCTTGAGTCACAACACAGATCTTAACTAGTCTAACATTATCCCCAAGAACTTTGAGAAATGTTTGAAAACTGTCAATATGTTACCCTTGGGCTACAATTCTATCAGCTGTTCGCTTGAGACAACCCCCGATGCCATCAGAGCCCCCTTCCCATGTCCAGCTTCCATGTAGTTCCAAGTTGCAACAGAAACAGGTAAAGATTGCTGTAAGGCATGAGCTATAGATAGAATATTGTTTTGTTGCGATATTGTGTTGTCGGGCATCGGGCTATCGCTTAGAAAGTGAATCATTCATTATAGAATTGAACAAATTAGCCTAATTGAATTCGAGTACGGTTCAAGAATAATTTAGGTAGGTTACTATTAACTTATTTAAATTTGGAAAGCATTATTATATTTTAAATAAAATGATTAAAATATCTCTCTCCCTGGAGTGTTTTCTCTCTCCCTAGACATGCATTAAGTCTAGGGAGAATGAATCTAGGGAGTGAGGTTTCAAGGTTATTTGGCACCAAACTAATTGGCACCTTACTGTTTACTAAAATAAAAGGAGTGCTTTTAATTACGCCTCTAAAAAGAATTTGAAACAGCTAAAAGTAATTTAATAGTTTACTTACCTTTGGTTTTGCTAATGTCTAGGGAATGAGAAACAATAAAAATACTCCACTGTTTACATGTTAAAACAATCCTTGAGCACAACGGAACAACTCTCCAATTCATCAACAAGAAGTGTGTGTGTCCGCCATCTTGAAGCAGTGCTGCCAGTTAGTTCAAAAACTTAAATTTACCTTTCTTCATTTAATAACAGGTATTTCGAAATGTGTCTAGAGAGTGAGGTTAATCCTTGTTAGGGGCACAAATATGATCAAATTTAATGTATAATGTTGAATTTTTCATTAATGTTCATAATATATTGGTGGAAAGGAATATTTTAATGATAAAATACAAGTTTTCAAATTAATTTCAAACACTTTAAATTATAATAACATCTCTTAATTTAAATAGATTGATTGTGACATGTCTAGGGAGAGAGAAAAATGTATTTTAATAATTTTTCATTAAAAAACTCATGTTTGTTTTCAGTCCAAATTATAGAAAACTTAAAGTGTCATGGGTATAGGTTAAGAATATTAAAAAATATAAAAAAATATTGTTATCACTTTTATTGCAGTGTCTTTGTGACAGAGTATAACCTAAAATTTTGAAACGACCCAGATATTAAGGCTGGCTTAGCTGTATAGGCTCAGGTTGGAAAGTACGATGTTCCCAAGGTGGTATAGTATTTTTCTTTTTTGATGACTTCTCATCACCAGAAGGTGTAGGCGTGATACTATTTTCTAGATATTGCTTCTCACCATCTGGTAGGGTGGACAAAGCGGCATTGAAAGCTAAAAGACAGTAATTTGTATCACAAAAACTTACCACTCCAGATAAAGAGTTGTAATATGTCGGGTAGGACCGCTTCGCCCAGCTCCCGTCGGCCACAACGGTCAGGATCGGCGTTCCGTCCGGGGTGTCTTGACCCTCAGTGATGGCGTGCGCTATTTCTTCCGTTGCCGCTGACTTCATCTCTTCGAGCGCAGTTTCTTCCCATCCCTTTGAAAGTTTGTCGTGATAGCCAGAATATGACATTGCAGACATTGCTGAAATTTCTATTGTAGAGAGAAGTTCTTGCAGCTGGGAATGACCAATTCCAATACACATTGCACCAGCAACACTCGCAGTATTTATATCCATTGTTTCCCTTCTATCGTCCTCAGTAGACAATATGAATTCCATATTGCACATGTTGCTTTTTAAAGTCATTTTAGACCGCAGCCCATAACACTTATCCTTTATTATATCGCAATTACTAATAGAACAACCCATTATTTTGTTGTGATTGTCGATTTATCTGATTTGGCAATAGAACGAGGCCAAGTCAACGATCCGCCGACCTGTTATTTCCAAGTGGCACTGGAGCGGTTATATCTTCTAGTGGGATAGGTCCTTCGAGTATGTGTTCATTGGCGTCGTCTCGGCTATAGTTTGAAACTTCCATATCTTCGAGAGGAATAAGTTCTTCAACGCTTTCTTCATGGGCGTCGTCTCTGTTGCAGCTTGAAACTTCCATTACTATAGGAACCTTAAGAAGAAACTATGTTCAGTATTTCTTTATTATTTCCAATCTAGTTTTTCCAGGGAAGTTTTTCACAAACTAATACTATTTTTGTACGGTGATTTTATGTTCCTTTGTATATTTATATTATTTGTATATTTTTTTTATATCCTTTGTATATAGCGAACCAGCATGATTGGACGATTGCAACGTGGGTTATGGGGGGTAAAATTGGGTTTTATCATTTTTTAACCTAAAAGAAATTCCCAAATGTCACTCTAAACCTTGTTAAAGAGCTTAATAAACAAATAAATTCAGTATGTCGAAGTGTTTTTGTACATTTATCGGTAACGAAGGAACTTCAAAATTTTTAATTTTTTTGAAATGTTATTTTTACGGAGAATATTGTAACAAGTAGTAGTTTGCTTGTTTATGGATATATTTTAATCACAATTGGCAAATTTATTTATTTTATACTAAGCTATTAATATTTTACGAAAAACGCACTCTTCATTAGTTTCCTTGTACTGTAGCAGCAAACCTAAGTACTCGTCAAACCTAATGTAAAACCTAATTATTTAAATGGATTTAATTGAAAATCAATTTTAAAGATAAATAATATATTATATGATTTTACAAATGTTATTTATAACTAGCTTTTGTACCCATGCTTCGCAACGGAGAGGACACTGAAGCAAAAGAAATTATTGATCTTGAATTCCGTTCTATAAAATAGTTACACATTCTCCTTTGGTTTCAGGAACATAACTCAACTGAATCTATTAGTTTGACAAATATCTTTGTATTTTTCATTGGCTAGGCTGACTTATAAGGTTACCTACTACGAATTATATGAGGCGCTGATGCATTTATGGAAATAATGTACCTATACGATTCAATTTGGAAGTGATACGCTTATTTAAACATTTATTTCGTTGAAAAACGTACATATAAAGTAAATAAGGATAATAATCGCACAACATAAAGCTCACTGTAGTTAAGCAACTGTAGTTTACCGTAGCCACTGAGCTTTTTTCAAAGTTTGGTCTTTACCTGCAGATCAGTGTGTATATATCACAACAATAAGCAAAAATGAACTAATGGAAAACTTGTATTACCTTGTGTTAGGAAGCCAACCACTATTATTGTTGATCAGGGCACAAATTTCATTAAGTTAATTTATAAATAAACAACATAATGAAAGACAGTTATTATTTTAAATCGTTCAATAGTTCAAAACGCATATATATTTGCATTAATTTACATCATTATTTAAAACATTGAGTAAAGAAACAAAGTTACGTTACAGATATTTAATTGATTTTAGAAACAAAATTGAATTGCGTGCAGTTTAGTTTTGTGATATTCTCCTTAGTCAGCGAGCTGGTCTAGTGGTTAGAGCTCGGGACTCCGGTTCCTGGAGTCCCGAGTTCAAATCCCGCCAAATCACCAATGATTTTATCGAAGTGATAATGCCGTAACCCCTAGGTCTAGGTCTAGCCTGAAGTAATGTGAAAATTAATTCCGGGCTCGTGCCTAGCGCCTAGGACAAAAAAAAAAATAGTCAAATTAAAGCAGTGTTGTAAAAACAGAACTACTAAGGAGATTTCTTTAAATGTAAAAATAGCGAATGTGAAGTAGATAATAGAAGAAGATTTAAGAGGTAGCTATCTCTGGACAGAATAAAAGTAGGTATAGTTGAAATTTACTTTGTAAATTGAATTAAAACACAAATAAAAGTGTAAACATTGAGTCAAATAATTTTTATAAACTGTACCTGCACATATATCTCATAGTTTTAATTTAAAACAGTGCAGCTATTTTAATTTAAAATAAAATGCAGTATCTACACTTAACATCTGGACAAACTTAGGGAAAACTTAGTAACTTATGGTTGCCAAGCAGCAATACAGTAACTACACGCAGTTACGGCACTTGTGCTAAGCAATGGTCAGATACTGCACTTTACCTAAGCATAACAAATAAAAACATCTGAAATGCTGCATCTTTTAATCACCTGATTTTTGAGGTAAGTAGGAATTTGTCGCTTGTTTGTTGTTGTTAGTGGTAGTGAGTGATGTGATGTGAGTTAGTTGGTGTTAAAATAAGGTTTAATTTGTAAAACTATTACAACACGTTTAGGAAAAGAACTCATGACATATTAAATAAATTAAAAGGTACTGAAAATGAAGAAGTGAGGCTAAAAGCTGTAAAAGAAGAATTCAAGGAAAAATGAGATTCTAAAGTAAGGTTAGGCCTAGTTGGGACTAATAATAATAGGCCTAACATTTCTAAAACTGACTGTTGCACTGAAAAAGAAGTTGATTTTAATGAAAGTTTTGTTGTAGAAGAAGTTTCAGAAGTTAATTTTGATCAAAATGTCAACGTCGAAACTGCTGTTAAAGTTAATTTGAGTGAAAATGCTGTAATGGAAGACGCAGTGCCAGTTTGGGTAGAAGAACATGTTATTATTGAAAATTTGACAGAAGACTGTGAGGTAGGCCTCGTTAATTTGAATGAAAATGGCAACGTAGAAGCTGCTGCAGACGTTAATTTAAGTAAAAATGCTGTAATGGAAGAGGCAGTGCCAATTCGGGTAGAAGAAAATGTTATTATTGAAAATTTGACAGGAGACACTGAAGTAGGCCTAGGCATAGACAAAAGGTAGTTTCGATGAACTGAATTTTGAACAATACAATGATGCAGAGCTTATTGATAACTTAGGCCTAGATCAAGAAAATGTAAATCGTCAAGGCCTAGATCAAGAAAATTTAAATCGTCATCTAGCCACAGACTCAAGGGTGGTACATGACGAATCAATGTTACTTGAAAATCGTAATGTATTAGGTAACTTGGCTACTAACACATCTGGCACAGTCTCTGCTGACCAAAAGGGGTACAGTTAGAAAGAGATTGCCAGATCGGAGTAAGGAGGAAAAAGACGCAGAGAAAAAGAATTATTTAAGGGAAAACATAACGTTCTTCCCCCGTGTGAGGACAGTTGTTTTTTACGGTGTCGCCAAAATATATCTGATGATCAAAGATATAGGATAAACCAAGCGTTTTGGGACAAATCTTTGGCTGATAGAAGAGCGTATATTTTGACAACTTGTGAGCGACTTGATAACAAAATAAAAACAACTGAATCTGAACTAATTAGTAAAAGGAATAGGACATTCCAGTATTTTCTTTTGGGGGAAGAGGGACAAAAATTCCGTGTATGCAAGACATTTTTCGTAGCCAGACTTGGCTACAAACAAAAAAATTATCGTTTCATTTTTGAAACATTGTCTTAAACCCCTAAAATCAAATATCGCCCATCCCGGATAAAAGAGAGAAAAAATTCCAGCAAACTTTATACCTAAAGAAGAAATTAAAGCCCACATACTCTCTTTTCAGCCACAGATATCCCACTACAGCAGGGCGCATGCTCCAAAGACTTTATATCTACCCAGTGATGTGACAATTATTCTGATGCACAAGGATTTTTTGGAGAAATATCCAAATTCCAAGGGTTCATACGAAGTGTATAAGGTTCAAGTAAAGAAAATGAAAATATCATTTACTAAACTTGGACACAAAGAATGCGAAACGTGTGAGCAGTATAAACTTCATGGCCACAATGAAAATAACTTGAATGATGATTGTGAAGATTGTATTAAGTGGAGAAATCATATTGATGCGGCTACAAAGTCAAGAAAACTTTACAAGTAACAAAATACAATTGTTGATCCGTCCGTCCTAGAAGTGTCAGCCGATTTGCAAAAGATTATAATGCTACCCAGAGTAGAAACATTCCTAGTAGAAAGTCCTATTTACTAAAAGGCTTGTAGCCTATCATGAAAGCTTTGTATCAGTGTGAGATAAGTCTTCTTCTAAGCCTTTTGCTGTGTTATGGCACGAAGCTATTACTGGCCGGAATAAGGAAGATTTAATAAGCACATTTTATGCTTTTCTAAAATAAAAAAGGGACTTTAAACACATAATAATTTGGTTAGATAACTGCTCTAGCCGAAACAAGAATTGATGTTTTTATACATTTTTAGTTGAAGTGACTAACTCTAATGAAATATCCTGTGATACAATTGAAATCAACTATTTTGAGGCAGGACATACCTTTATGAGCGCGGATAGCTTCCATCACAATGTCGAGCAATCGCTCAAAAAAGCAGGCAAAGTGTATGACTTCCAGGATTTTGTCACAGCAGTGAAGAATTAGACGTTAATGAAATGGCAGTCCCTGACTTCTATTTATGGAAGGATTTAACGTCACAACAGAAACTTAAGAAGGATCCAAACCGCACTTACATGTGTGAAATTGTACAGGTGAGACTTTTGAAACTTATGATATAGCCTTTGTGTTAATGTAAAATGGTTTTAAAAGTTACTCAAATAAATATTTTAATACCGATTTTTTTTATTAATAGTTAATTAAAACTAAATTACATGTAATTATTAACATTATATTAAAATAATTTAATAGGGTATAACATTAATTAATTACTGTATAATACAATTACAGTTGAAATTATGTTATGTCAAAATAATTACATCATGGTACATTTTATAAAAAAAAATAGTTTTGATTAATTTTAAATCTCTAAATTTAAATTTCAGATAAAAGCCAAAAGAGGATGTTATACTTTTGAGTACAAGACGTCATTCACAGATAATGAAGAGCCAAAACACCTAGACTTCCTCATGAATAAAGTTCTGAAAAAAATTTGAACATTTTGAAATTCCTGAAGCTATGAGTAAACCTCAGGGATTTCCTGAAGCTAAAAGGGACAACGTTTTAAAGAAATTGGGTGGTTTCATCTCTGAAATCAATCGTCAATTGTTTTGGAAAAACTTACCAGTTAGTGGTTTAAGTACTAAGGCCGGCCACACACAGAACCGGGCGGGGCGGGGCGCGACAGGGCATTTTGTGCGACGGGAATTTCATGGGCTCTGATGAAGCGCCACACACAGGACCGAGCGAGGCAAGGCACGTCAAAAAGACGCCCCTAGGCGAACGGAACCTGTACTTTTCGCTTTGACTTTACTATCAGTTTTAATCATCATCTAAAGTTAAGGATAACACTCCTATGAGTCCAGTATTGACAGCATCGATCATAAAAGTTTGGTATTCCATTAAATCCTCTCGGCGAGACGCATTATATATTCGATCTTCGAATATCGGGGATAATGTTTCTTCACTAAAAATACAATTTCGAAATATGGACCAAAAAAAGGAGAACCATGGACTGCTAGGTCAAAGAAACTCTCACATACACCATCCATATTGTAAATCTGCATTGTAGGTAGCGAAAGGAGAATGATGCTATACAGTTTAAGCTCTGATTTATACATAATAGTAAAAGAGAAGGGGGAGGGGTGTGGTTAGTAAGAGGGGGGTTTGTAGTTGATGTTACGTTTGATAATTTTTATGTGCTTTACCATGGATTAAAACTTTTTTTAAATAATAATTCTACTATGTATACATAGATGGATAGAGAAGAACGGATTCTGCAAAATTACGGAGTAAACTCAATTTTAAATAACTTGTAGTGTCGCCTCTTTTTTCCACTTTGAATTCCGCTTTCCTCTTACCCTAATCAATTGTATTAACATGTAATAAACAATGAATAAAATAAACTGTTTCGACCTTGCTGGGTCTCATCAGGCATGAGCTAGGCAAACAGCATCTCACACGACAGTTTTTTTTTGTTTTTTGTGTTTTTTTTGTGTTTTTTTTTTAACAATTGTAATCTTATTTTTAGATTTACAATGCTGTGAACTCAAAGCGCTGTTTCTCAAAGTTATATTTAATTTTACAATGAATAATGTTTTTTGGCACAGCAAGAGACTTAGGACGCTTTACTAAGATGATTTCGTTATTGGTTTCTGACTGCAATTTTAGATTGTTGTCTTGGTCAAATCCAAGAAACTTGTACACTACATTTTTGATTAGCTTGTGCATTTTCTTTAGTTTTCTAGGTTGAGATTTTTTCAATTTGTCAAAAGACTTAATTTTGTTTTCTAGTTCCTCAATCTTCTTTTTCAAAACTGTCATAAGTTGTTTTTTCATCTTTCTCTTTTGATAAAAGATGGTAAATTTTACTGTGCAACTCTTGCGTTGCTATCTGTAGATGGCGAAAGTTTTCATTTCTCCCACTTGAGGCTGGTCTTTCCTTCTTTTCTCGATTTTTTCAATGAGAAATGCAGTATACACTATTTGTTAAATTGGTGCATCTTTCACCTCTTCTCGGCTTCTTTACAAATATATATTTACATTGGTTTCTCTTCTGTTCTTCAATTATGATTGTTTTCTTCTCTAATTTAGTTGATGTCGATTTCTGGTTTGCCGATACCTTGGTTATTGTTTTTACCAAATCTTCGTCATCAGATGATAAAAACGTATTCTTTGCTAAGAAATTTCCTTGATGATTCTTCCACTGGTTTCTTTTGTCCCCCTCATATACTTTCTTCTTCCATAGGTTTCTTTATTTCACTGCCAATAGCATCTTCCACCATTATGTTTAGAAGCTTTTTAACAGATACTTCGACCTCATTTTCAGACTCCATTGAATTTGTTTGAATTCCGCTTTCCTCTTACCCTAATCAATTGTATTAACATGTAATAAACAATGAATAAAATAAACTGTTTCGACCTTGTTGGGTCTCATCAGGCATGAGCTAGGCAAACAGCATCTCACCCGACAGTTTTTTTTGTTTTTTGTGTTTTTTTGTGTTTTTTTTAACAATTGTAATCTTATTTTTTGATTTACAATGCTGTGAACTCAAAGCGCTGTTTCTCAAAGTTATATTTAATTTTACAATGAATAATGTTTTTTGGCACAGCAAGAGACTTAGGACGCTTTACTAAGATGATTTCGTTATTGGTTTCTGACTGCAATTTTAGATTGTTGTCTTGGTCAAATCCAAGAAACTTGTACACTACATTTTTGATTAGCTTGTGCATTTTCTTTAGTTTTCTCGGTTGAGATTTTTTCAATTTGTCAAAAGACTTAATTTTGTTTTCTAGTTCCTCAATCTTCTTTTTCAAAACTGTCATAAGTTGTTTTTTCATCTTTCTCTTTTGATAAAAGATGGTAAATTTTACTGTGCAAGTCTTGCGTTGCTATCTGTAGATGGCGAAAGTTTTCATTTCTCCCACTTGAGGCTGGTCTTTCCTTCTTTTCTCGATTTTTTCAATGAGAAATGCAGTATACACTATTTGTTAAATTGGTGCATCTTTCACCTCTTCTCGGCTTCTTTACAAATATATATTGTAAGAAAGGGGATTAACCCCGTACCCACGGTGCTCATCTATGCAGACACTCTGTTCACATTACACTTAGTCGACCAGTTGGTGTGAACAGAGTTGAACAGTAGCATGAGCATCGATTTACAAATTCCTTTCCCAGCTGATGTGAGCTAGGCGATGACCGGTAGGGCTGACTTCCAAGAAACACCGTTAACCTATAAGCCACACACCCTATCGGTAATCAGCCAATGAGAAGGGCTAATGAAGAAGATGGAGGGGTGACGACTCTTGGAGCTGGAGGATCTGAAGGAAAACATCGAGGAGATCACCACGGGCCACCGGAGAAAGAAGATCGGGAGTTTGGGAGTGCGTGTATCGGTGTGTGTGCTTCTGGGACAATAGACAGTATGTAGAAAGAATAAAATATTTAACTAAAACTTTGTTAAACATAAAAGTCATATAATTTGTCAGTAACTAATTCTTTTATATTTTCAATTGATTTTCTTTTCTTGTTAATTTAACGTTGTAAATTAATTTATCTTATTATTGTTGATTTTTGCCTTTTCTAAGTTTTCTTTTGCTGTTGTAACACTTTGTAACTTTTGTTGTTTTTCTAAATTTTAAGTTTTTGTTCATTACACGTTGAGTAACACCCTTAAGCTGTCTTATGTCTCATTGACCTAACTCCTCTTCACTAAGCTAAGCGAGTGTATCATTTTAGGAAACTTAAACTTAAAGTGAGGCATGGGACTCGCAATATTTACATTGGTTTCTCTTCTGTTCTTCAATTATGATTGTTTTCTTCTCTAATTTAGTTGATGTCGATTTCTGGTTTGCCGATACCTTGGTTATTGTTTTTACCAAATCTTCGTCATCAGATGATAAAAACGTATTCTTTGCTAAGAAATTTCCTTGATGATTCTTCCACTGGTTTCTTTTGTCCCCCTCATATACTTTCTTCTTCCATAGGTTTCTTTATTTCACTGCCAATAGCATCTTCCACCATTATGTTTAGAAGCTTTTTAACAGATACTTCGACCTCATTTTCAGACTCCATTGAATTTGTTTGAATTCCGCTTTCCTCTTACCCTAATCAATTGTATTAACATGTAATAAACAATGAATAAAATAAACTGTTTCGACCTTGTTGGGTCTCATCAGGCATGAGCTAGGCAAACAGCATCTCACCCGACAGTTTTTTTTGTTTTTTGTGTTTTTTTGTGTTTTTTTTAACAATTGTAATCTTATTTTTTGATTTACAATGCTGTGAACTCAAAGCGCTGTTTCTCAAAGTTATATTTAATTTTACAATGAATAATGTTTTTTGGCACAGCAAGAGACTTAGGACGCTTTACTAAGATGATTTCGTTATTGGTTTCTGACTGCAATTTTAGATTGTTGTCTTGGTCAAATCCAAGAAACTTGTACACTACATTTTTGATTAGCTTGTGCATTTTCTTTAGTTTTCTCGGTTGAGATTTTTTCAATTTGTCAAAAGACTTAATTTTGTTTTCTAGTTCCTCAATCTTCTTTTTCAAAACTGTCATAAGTTGTTTTTTCATCTTTCTCTTTTGATAAAAGATGGTAAATTTTACTGTGCAAGTCTTGCGTTGCTATCTGTAGATGGCGAAAGTTTTCATTTCTCCC